AAGCATCACCTAGTTACAACTAGTTGCAGCTTATAAAATTTTGGAGTTGCAACATGTTGCAACAGGTGACAAATAAGTATCACATACTTGCTACACTATCTCTAGTTATAATTATATAATACTTTATTTATTATCATATTACAATAGTTATTATATCATTTTTAATTTCAATTGATTAATATTGATCATAATTACAAATAATTGCAAATTATTTTTGTTAATAATTGATTTTTAATCATATTTATTAACAATTAATTATTAATATCTCACTGATTAGCATTAATTATAATTGCAAATAATTCTTGTTGATAATTGATTAGTTATCTTATCTATTAATAATTAATTATTAATATTATTACTAATTAGCATAAATTATAATTGTAATTGCTTACAAATAAAATTTATTAATAATTAATTGCTAATGATTCTTATTAATAATTAATTATTAATATATCATTATTTTCTATTACTAATAATTGCAATTAATTGCTAATAATATTTGATTTTAATCAATTATTAACAATTATAATTAATTATAATTATTAATAATTTATTAAAATCTTTATTGATAGTAAATAATGATAATTGATTATTAATGAATATAATTATAAATTGATTGTTAATGAATATAAAAATCATCTAATACTACTCATTATAAATAAAATATTTATAGTTTAATCTAAATTATTTATTATTTTTTTAAAATAATAAATAACTTTATTAAAATTATAATTATATTTATCTTTATTATATATTATTTATTTTTAGTATTTTAGTTATAAAATCTTTAATATTTTAATCTTAAAATATTTAGTTATTATATTATTTTTTTATCTTAAATTATATAAAATATATTATATACTTAAAAATTATAAAAATAATAATATATAATTAATTATAAAAGTATCTAATTTTTTTAACTTTTTATAAATTATATATTATATACAAAATTTTTTGAATATAAAATAATACAAATACTAATTATTTATATCTTTATAAATTAATAAAGCTTTTATATCATGTTTTAAATACAATAAATTTGTTATTTTAAAATATATATTTAATATTTAATAATTTAATTTGAAAAAAAATATAATTATTTAATTTATTTTGATTAAACAAATTATTATATTCTAAAATAACAAATTTATTGTTATAGATCAATTTTTTATTATAAATTAATTATTTAAAATATAATATCTTAATATTTAGTAATTTTATTTGAATAAATATATTATTATTCAATTTATTTAGTTAAAACAAATTCTTTTATTTAAATTATATTACTAAATATTAAAATATTATATTCTAAATTAATTTCTGTTAATATTAAAAAAATGAATTAGTTATTTTAGAATAAAAATATTATCATTTGATTTATCTAGTTGAAAAAAATAAATGATAGTATTTTTGCTCAAATCAAATTACTAAACATTAAGAATTAAATTATTGTATATTGAGATATATATTATAAAATAACTGATTATATAAATGATTAGTTTTTTGTATTTTTTGAATATTATATAACACATTCTATAAAAAGTTAGAGAGTTGAATACTTTTACAAAATATTATATATCAAAAAGAATTTAGTAAATTCACAACTATATTGAATCAATTATATAATAATCATTATCCAATCCCTATACAACATTCTCAATAAATTTTATAATAAGTATTGAATTGCCAACATGGAAAGAATCAGATAAGTCTTTTTCAAAATCTATAAGTGTTTCTCTATTATCTAATATACTTATTGCTTGTAGTTAATAATATTCATTGATTTACAATCCCGAAGTGGCCAAAAATGAAGAAAGAAGGGAGTTAAAAGATTATTACTTAATAATTGACCAATGGTTAGGTTATATATAGATTATATCATAATTGAAATAAATTCTGATGGTTTTTCTTTATTACTGTACGTATATCGATATATTACGAATCAATTACGTAACTAAAAAAGTTTCATTGGAGTAATTTCAAGAATTTGACTTTTGATCAGTAAAAATAAATTTGTTATTTTGCAAGTTGAAAATTATATACTATTCTTAATTAAATTGCTATTTGGACAAGTTCAATTAATTAAAGAATTTCATAAAAACAATTTGACGTTCAAGTTGCCAAATGACTATTCTGCAAATTCATGTACTTTACAAGTATTCTGTAATTATGTATTTTTGATCGAGTTTTGACTATTAGTACTCTAATAATTGGTTGTATTTTCTGGTTTTTCTTCAGTTCATTAATTCACACTTGATCCAAAGTTGCAGAAAAACATAGATTTTGAATAAATGCGCGTAGAACGATCAAAATATCTGAAATTTTGTAAAAATGCATTTGATAGTTAAACTCAAAACTTTACATTAAACTTGAGTGCGCAATTTCATTGAAGAAACCGAGTTACTATGACATTTATTTAGAAATTTAATAAACTATGCACTGAACTGTGTCGAAAAATTTATTAATTATCGCGATTTATACCAATATCAGTGTCAACCTTTTTCCTAATTAGCTCACAATCATAATCATAATCATCTTGCACCGATAAAGTAACCCTGTAATATGGTCTAGGATCATGCCCAGACGGTAGATGTTTCTCTATTCTAAACGTAATCTCTGGCACCAAAACCTTCATCCATCTTCCCATATCCTCGCCAAATCTCTCCAAGATAGAGTATGCAATCCAAGCAAATGGCCTCACAATTCCCACGTATGGTTTTTTGGCGACATAGTTATTCCAATAGTCGTTTTTGTCGGCTTCATTTCTGTTGAAACTGAAATTTATTGTTGATTCATAATTTGCAATGGATTCGTGCATTACGTCGCGAAGTGCATGGAGAAAGGATATAATTTTTTTAGGGGGTAATGTGTGAATTAATGATTGTGGTTGGGAGCTGGATGGGGGAGGTGGAAATGGAATTTGAAAAAAGTCGAGTTCTTGGTAGAGTTCCGATTTTGTGAATGATAGAGAAGGTGATTCTTTGGGTGTTGGCCAGTGAATAGTCCCGGTACGATAAAATTGTAAAACATAACGAAATAGATGACCATCTCGATCAATAAAGTATTCGTTGCTCCCAGCTATAGGTTTGAGAAGGGAGCTATTTCGGTCGGCAAACATTGTTCCCAGTAAAGTGTCGGGATAGGCCGTTAATGAAGAGCGATACGTTTCATACTGAAGGAACAAAATACAATTATCCAGAATCGTTATTTGAATAATAATAATAATTATTATTATACCTTTACACCGCCAACATTTAACACGACGATGCTTTCAATTTTTTCCGTTGTTATTTCTGTAGTTTCTGTAGTTTCTGTAGTCATAATGAAAGCTATCTTTCATATACGTAATTAGAACTTATTTATCAATGATTGTATCGATGTTGTATCATTTTATTAATGCAAAGTCACAGAGTGAGAGAACAAATTACATTTCGTGTTTTAGCGTTAGAGTTTCGTGTCTCTTGCTGCGAATTTAATGCAAAAAGGCAGTAAAACGTGATGAACATGCATCATGTCCGTACTTGAACACCAACTCGATTGACATTTCTTAATACATGTACATGTACTAAGAAAGAAATAATAACTCCTTATCGTTATGCACCCCACTGCCGACTTATTACTCTATATGGAATATACATAAATATTGATTGAATACAAAAACAAAAAGACAATTGCGTGAATTTTAGTTTATTGTTGAAGAGAGCATAGTTGTTTATTTTGGCTACAATGCATCAATCAAAATTGTTTTTTGGTTGCTACTTCATTTAGGAGGCTTTATCATAAACGCACGTTGTGCGACCAGAAATCGGTTTATCTTTCAAATCGAAGCTACAAATACCTGCAATAATTTTTGGCGAAGTGGTTGTTTTGCTGTTTTCTGTCTGAGGTCTGAGACACTTTTTTTTTTAATAATCTCTGAGGCGGAAGAAAGGTTATATTTTTATTCTGATGCGAAATTTCAAATTAGTCAATTCTGGATAAAAGAAAATCATGCAATCCCACGATTAATTAAAACCCAGGCAATAGAAAAAGCAAGTTATTATAACAAATCTTTAGACACTTTATTAGATTTAGATTAAATGACAACATTAAAAGACAAGTTTGTGTGTAGTATTAGTGGAAATAGCTATACTTCGACGACGAATACTAATAATACGAATACGCCACCACAAAATATTGTTATGAGCGGATACAGCACAAGTTGTAATAATTATAGTAACACTACTAGTAATAATGGTAGTACAGGAAGTGTCATGAATGGAATTAGCGAGGAACGGATAATTTTAAACGTTGGTGGGATAAAAGTAGGTGTTTTATTTTTATATACAAGCATCGGTGCACAATGATGATTTGGTCAACTAATCATTTTGCATCCATCCTTTTATCTAGTATGAAACGTATCGTAGCACATTAACAGCCTTCCCGACAACGCTCCTCGGTGTAATGTTTCACGAAAGAAACAGTGCACTACTACATCCAACTAACGGTAATGAATATTTTATAGATCGAGACGGTCATCTATTCTGGTACATTATTCAATTCTATCGCACCGGAAAAATATACTGGCCCGATGAACGTAGTTCCTTAAATAATACCCATGGCGCAACTGCACTTTCACTTCACCATCATCACAATCAAATACCAATTTCTCGTGAATCGCTCGAGGACGAAATGGATTACTTTCAGATCCCGTTGCTTCACCGCGAATCGGACACTATATCATTCACTGCTGCATCCATACGATCTTTTTCATCACTCACACCGCACCCAGCCGTCCTAAAACTCGACTCATTCGTCGCCGCATTGCGCGAAATAATTTTCGAATTGATCGCAATTTTCGAGACGAGTATACGAATTACATTTCAAAAGAACCGTGGTCCGCCTTACTTTTACTTCGGACAGTCCACAGATCATGATGCTGCCATCTCGGAAAGTGTCAAGGATTTAATTAATCCGTTTGGAAGTGTTGGGTATACCATTCTGGGGAAATTTGGCACAGAGATCGGACTTTATTTGGAGAATGAGCAACCGGGATTAAAGTGGAAATATGAAGATTACGCGAATCTGAATTCTAGAAGTGTGCGTATGTCGTTGACTGATGTGTATGGTGATGATGAAGTGTTGAAGAATTCGTGTCTTTGTAGGAATGGGTCGTAGGAATATATGTTTGTTATTGATCAAGAGATTATTAGTGAAAAACATTAATTTATTAATTCAGACTTTATTTGATTTCATAGACATTTTTGTTTAAAAAAAAAATAGATCTTCACCCATTTTTCTCATCAGTACCAAAGGTTTTCTATATCTAATAGACGCGCACGATTCAAAATTAATATGTGCGAAACAATAAATATATACATATTATTATTAGTAACAACAGTGAATTACGCTCAACATCAAAGACAAAATATTCACAAGTCTGTTCTAGAACTTTGAACAGTCTTTTATTTCTTTCAATTATTAGATTGCCTCAAAGAAATAATATTTCGTGTTCTTGTTGATCAGGATAATTTTATAATTTGTATTATTATTATCATTAATTATTATTATATTAGATCTGTCTATTGTATATATTTATGTATGTACGAAATATGTAAAAAGTATTTATTAACAATAAAAGTGTAGATACTACTAATCAACACTAACCAAACCGAAATGACACGAGTAGTTAATTAATACCACTAAGCAGTAATAGGATTATTATGCCACAATCTTATCAACAGGATCACCATGCACACGAAACCGATAAAGACAAGTATACCCAGGCTTTCCCCAATTACTATTAACCTTCATAATTATAGCGCGGATAGGTCGATTCTCTTTTCGAATATGCTCCGGGATTTCGAAGGTTTGCACGGGGAGACCATTGATATTGTAAGTGTAACTTCCGAGGAAAAAGTGAAGGGGAGATGAGCCTAGTTTGAGTTCGCCGGATGTGGCATTTTCTATTCGTGGATCGATTTCAGAGAGTGCACTTGGTTTGGAGGTTGGTAAGTTACCGCTTTTATGTGTGACATATTGTCCGTCTTCTCGGAATCCGCATTCTTCTTCTTGGGATTCCATGTAATCTTCTGCTTCCTTAAACATTTCTCCGACTGTTTCTTCATCGGGATCTTGTGGTCTGGGTGTACCTTGGGCGCCATTTCCCTCATCAATGATTCCCCACACTTCGAAATCTTTGGGTGCACTTGCAACATCAAAAGTTACGTGTCTGCTCACATGATCATAAGTAATAGCGGTGACATAAACGCGTCGATTTAATAATATCGCTAGTTGACCTTCCTGACCCGCAAATGGCCAACAATGACCAACATGTGTTTCCGGTGATATTGCTGTAACAGGTGGTTTACCGCGAAGAATTCCTTGACCAGAAACTTTAGCAAAAAGTTTTTTGTACCATTCTTCAGGCCACAATTCATACGTTTTACTGGTGAATCGACTTATGATTTTTGCGCCCCCAGAATGAAGCGCAAAATCAGGTCGATTCAATTTATCCTGAGAGAATACGAGTAACTCTTCTTCAACAATTTTACGAGACTCGGATCTGATCATCTCCAACAAATCTTCACCTCCCTTCCAACTTGGCACTCTTACGGATTTAGTTCTCGAAATTTGAGTTTTTATTTCGTTTGAAATTTCATTCTTGACTTCATTTCGAACCTCGGTCTTCAGTTCACTCTTAAGATCGCCTCTCATCTGATTCCTTATTTCGTCTTTGATCTCACTTCGGAATTCCTTTTGAACATCACTAAGGTCATGTTTGAATACATCGAGATCATGTCCAAGTTCGTTTCGTATATCTTTTCTCATGTTTTTCATATCCTCGTTTACTCCGCCCTTGATAAGATTTATATCGATCTTGTATTCATGCTTTATTTCATTCTTTATTCCATTTTTCAATTCATTCATATCAGTTTTGATTTCATTCCGTAGATTTTTAATGTCATTCTTCACGCCACTTTTAATATCTGTTTGGACATCATTTATATCGGTCTTTACGGTATTACGTAAATTCTTGATGTCGCCATTTACTGTATTCTGAAAATCGTTCAATTGGCTCTTGATATCATTAATGTCATTTTTCACGCCACTTTTCATAGTGTTAATATTACTATTTACATTGTTAATGCCACTTGCTACGTCATTGCCAACGTCGTTCTTAATTTTGCGAAGATCATCGGTTAATTGATTCTTTAAATTGGCAGCGTTCGAGGCGCAAATATTCTTGACTTCGGACGATATATATCCTTGTAATTGTATTAAATGAGGTTCAATCATTCCATTTGAATTGATAGTTGGCGCCTTACCCTCGCAAGATGTTCGAACTTCTTCAGCGATTAACCGTTTTATATAAAGAAGATCAAACTTTGCAGAGTCGTCACTGTTACCCGACCCTGAAAATGGTATTCTTCTTTTAGGGTCATTGAATGGCCAGAATCGGAGTTTGTCTCGAACCGGAAATTCACGTATATATTCAATTGTTGTCTTATCTTCAGAGCCAAATCTCACGTTCCATAATAGCCAAAGCAACAAAAGCATCCACAAAATCCACCAATATCGTCTACCATTTCGAGCAGTAGACGTAGCAACTACTAATGACGGTGCGACAACAGGTGGTGATGCATCCGAAGATGAGGTGTCAAGTATTCTAACAAATTGTCCATGACCAGTTAAATTTCTCCAAACAAATAATATTGTCTGTTGGATTAATGCTATTAAAAAGAACACGGAAAAACCTATAAGATTAAGTAGTTTACTGAGCGGCCATAGAATAAAACCTAGACTCGCTTTTAATAAATTAAAAATTGGCGCGTAAAATGGTGGACCATCAGCATCGGGATTGACTCCAGTCAGACTACGTTTCTTGCTTATCGGTGGTATTAGCGGAAATGTTGTGTCAATACCACGAGATTTACGTGACGGATTACCTAAAGGTATTCTTGTAACTGAAGGTGAAGGTGAATCAGACTCTTGTCTTTCTTCTTCATCGTCATAATCATCATCTTCACGATCAAGGAAATCATCTTCAAAGCCGTCTTTTATATACATCTCAGAATTAGATTCTTCGTCGGGTGGTTCTTGCGATTCAGATGAATTTTTAAGGAACTCTCTTTCAGCTATGTAAGAATCTTCATTTTGTAATTCTCGAAACTTTTCTTCTTCCCTCGAAAAGTCATCACTCTTTATATCATCCTCTACATCAATGAAAGGTGAATCAATCCTTCTTTCTTGAAGATATGCGATGTATTTAGGCGGAGATGAGGAATAATCATCATTGTCTTCATCACTACTTTCACCACTATACATGTTTTCAGTATTAACAGGAGTCTTGCCACGACTTGGGTTTCGTGGACTTTTACGAGTTGGTGTAGTTTCTTGATTACTACTGATACTTTCTTGTCTCCGTCTTCTTTGACGCGATAATGTCGTGGTTGTATCTTGGTAAGAAGAGACGGCAGCTGTTGCGAGATTTATGGCGGTCGCGGTATTTACCGATGTTGCTCCTGACGAAGAAGGAGGCGGTGATTGTTTTCGAGCTGGCATTCTTTTGCCTTTTTTTTTTTTTACCTAGCTACTAATAAAAGTTTATTATTGGTATCTTTTGTCGAAGAAAAAATGCGTGCAAATCATTGAACAAACAGTGGACGATTGAAAAGAAATTAATAAAAAAAAATCGCAATCGTCATCGTCATCAACTAACCACTTGAAGTAACCCAGTTTGGTCTTTGTAGGGGAAAAGAGTATTATTATTTTACGTATTTTGTTTGTTATTATGCTTATTATTTATTGTAGGGCAACCATGCTTGTGTAATCAAATAATTCAAATAATGATCTACCATGCTTCTTCCTTTCTTTTCATCAACATCGAATAATGGGGATAATGGTTTGTATATTACTTTATATGGATAGTAAGTAATGCATTTGAATGATATTTTGGTAACCATACAGATTTTATGTATTATCCATACAAAACAATCCTATCAATCTGTGGGGGGAGCGGAGTGAATCCATTTTGGTCACGAGTCATATATAAAAATAGTGAACCAATCCGATGAGTCTTGATTCTTCGCATCTAGCAGGTCCCAGGTGTACACGTAATGGGGATTCCATCTTCACGTGCACTCCCTCGGACACGACAGAGTAATGATAAAAAATTCCATTTTATTTAGTAATAAATATGAGAAGTTCGCGAGCGTGTGGCCCACGTATTTATTATATTTTCGTGATTTTTGGTTATTTGTTTTACGTTAATAATGTTTTTGAAAACTCCTAAATGTATAACTATAAATATAAATATTCCGCATAGAATATAAAAAAAATTATTGGTGATGATTATAAAAAATACAATATTTATATGCTTTATATTTGCACTAATGATCTATCGAATTCAGTGACAAATATTTATAAAGGTAATTTAGTTTTTCGTTTTATTTCTTCGATTGTCCTTTTTAAATGTTTTGAAATATAAAATTAATAATAATGATTAATAATAATAGTCATAATAATAATAATAATAATAATAATAATAATAATAATAATAATAATAATAATAATAATAATAATAATAATAATA